TAGTGCCTTCTTAACAGAAAAACAAATGTAAAAAGTACCTGGATTATTTCTCAAATCTGTTCTTTCTAGAGGAACATTTCCAGAAAATTAATCTACCAAAGTGTGTGGTCAATAATGCCAACATAGCTACTAGGAAACTGGGTTAAAATTTACAATTTGTGCTTTTTATCCCACCAATTTAAAAAAAAGAAAACGGTTTGTATTTCATTTCTAAAGAATTAATGGATTTATTTTTAATCCAACATTTTTATTACTTTAAATGTTATTAGTAGATACTTGTATTTTAAACAGACAACCCATTTTAATTCTAAACAGTGTATTTTGTAAATATTGGGCTGGTGCATAATTATCAGGCATTTTTGTAGGAGAGTTATTTGTTAATAAAAAATACTGTGTTGTTTACTTTTTTTTAACAAAAATATTTTATTTTCAGATTATGAAATTCAGTAGATGATGACTATGCTCCAGAATAATTATTTAAAAATGTTATTGTTGAATTTGTTTCTTTTTTTCATAATAAATATTATTTAACAACGCCTGATAATTATGCACCAACTCCATAGTTTGAGAACCTATGTTTTTCATTCTTACAAGGAAGGATAGTTGAAATAGACTTACAGTCTGAATTTCTGAAATGAACAATTATTTATACTTGGACTATTGTCTTCATCTTTGTTATTATCATCACTCTTAGTCTGAGTGTAAGTAAAATGGAATTGCACCAAATTATTTGGGAAATTATTAACATACTTCTTATTCAGCTGGTGATATTAAATTATTTTAAACTATTCACCCATAAACCTGTTTTTTTTAAAATCCGTTTATGGTACAAAATGATGCGGTAACAATATTATCAGTTTTATTAATCATTTTTATTTGTATTTGCAATATAAGTTATTGTAATAATTACTGTCATTGTCATCATAGGAAACAATTTCAATTACAATGTCAGCTCTTAGTTTTCAGAGCAGGAAATCTTATGGACCAAAAACAAATGAAAAACATCTTAATGCAAATATATCCTAATTTAAAGTATGAAAAATATTTTAATTATCAATATTTTTTTACTTATTTATAATAATAGAGACATTTCTTCCACAAAATGCACTTTGAATACAAAATGAATAACTAATACTAAAGACTGTCAAAGGTTTATTGTTCCACTGGGTTTCATAGTTAAGACATTGTGTGAAAATTTGAACTAATAGCTAAAAACAGGTGTAACCTTTTTCAAAATAAGGCTTTTTATTGTACATGCTTGCTTAATGGCAGCAAACCAGTGTATATCTATTTACCATCAAGTCATATGACAGTCTTTTCACATTTCAAGTAGTTATTTATAAAAAAAAGTTCTAATGTAGTGTAGTGAATTGTCTAAATATATGTTGCGTTATGTATATTTCAATTTATTTAATAATGTTGTTATAATGCATCATACTTATTTTTTACACACATAATAGTTGGAATATAATATACAAGAGTTTGTTTATGTGGGTTGATATAAGAATGTATGAAAGACAAATACTGAATTTATTATTTAAAAATGGCTGTAAAAACAGAAAAATGTCCTTGTCTAATTTTAATGAAATTTGACACTGCATTTGGCAGGAGTTCAAGGTACAATATGCTCCTAAATTAATTGGACTTATTGTTTAAGCTGTATCTCAGGAACACACGTACATACAAGATTAGAGTTTTAGTATTATATAGAAGTATAACAGACCAATATAGTTATTTTAAGAATTTCAGTGCATATAAGTGGAACAAATATAACAAGCCATTTTTATTACAAGTCAATTCCCCTGAACTAAAGTATATAGAATGGATAACATTAAGAGATTAAATTAAGTTGGAAGAATTAACTGACATGAGAAAACTAATGTGAATATATTAGTATCTTATGGTAATTTCTCATCTCATAAATTCAGACAAAGCATATTACTTTTGTACTTTTTTACTTAGTAAATTCCACAATTTATATATACTGTTTAAGGACTTATCGTATATACTCAAATATAGGGAGAGTTTTTATGATTAGTTTTTTTATGCAAAAGTTAGGGGTTTGTATTATACAAAGGTCATTTTTTTTTTGAAGTGGTTAAAAAGTAAAGTATCTAAATCTTTGTATCAGATATTCTACAATAACTGTTTTCTTTCTTACCATTTTGGGATAGCTTTGTACAAAAAAGAATGAAAACCATTTATTTGCTATGAAATATGTCCAGGCTGAGGCCCAGTACAGCAATATTTGATTACGGTAGACCTGCTAGTATTACTCAGAAGCTGGGGTCACATTACATAAAAAAAAAAAAAACTATGATAAAGAAGTTGATGAAAGTGATGTTTGGTTTGATCTGTTTTATGACTAACCATTAAGGATTCTGAGGATATTGTGGCTTGAACATGTGAGCAACAAAATATTAGAGAAAATGTAAACAAAAAGGAAACTATCAGGAAGAGAGAGTTGAGGTTTCTAGGGCATATAATGAGGATGGAAGGCTTGGAAAATCTGATACTCACAGGACAGGTTGAAGGCAAGAGAGACAGAGGACTTGGTGAGCTTGAGTAAATGGATGGTAGAATAGGGTTTAGGAGAAATAGAAAGACAAAATTTATTAAGAGCTACAAAGGACAGGAAGTTGTGGAGAGCCATGATCACCTACATCTTAAGGGGAGATGACAAAGAACCATTTTCATTTTATTAAATGCAAAATTGTATGCGAGTGTAAAATAAAAAAAATGAGGGAGGTTCAGTTAAGGAAAAAGTCTTTTTTAGTTTTTTTTTTTTTTTTTTTGTACAAACCTGTAATTAGGAAAGCAATGACAAGGTGAGAAATTTTCTTTATATAATGTGTTTTGTCCTTTAGGACGTCAGACTAAAGTGAGGTTTATATTGATGTAACTATACATAGTGCCTATGTGTAGTTACATCTCTCGCAAACTAATAGACAAAGAGTATAGCAAATAGATGGACACTTTGGGAGGGGAGCAGAGGGATTTTACACTGGTGGTGCAGTAAGCATATTCTTGACCCTCAACTAAAAGGGGAAAAAAGGCAAAGAGCAAAAAACCATGAAATGCAAAAAGATAGGGTGCATGGCTGTGAGCAATAGCAATAGCCTGAGAAGTAAATTACACATTGTGGACATCAAAATCAAGTATGTGTAAAAATTCAACTATTTGGGCAAGCATTAAGAGACAAGAAAAAAAAAAAAAGTGAATCAGAAATCCAGGACGAACATAGGAAGAGTGAAATATATATTTTTTAATCCTTACTCAGTTTTTGAAAACTACTATGAGAAATACAGAAATGAGTACTGGACTATTATTTAATGTCTACACATCTATATGGCAGTAAAAAAAAAAAAAAAAAAGGGACAATTATCACAGAGGGAAAAAAAGATTAATGAAATTCTAACCAGAATGACCAACAAATAGTAGAGAGGATAGGAACAGAAACATAATCCTGGTATGAAACATGATTTTAAATTTATAATTCTAATTGTTTTTAATTTATATGCTTTAGATGGAATTTAGAAAGAAAAGAAATTTATGCATCCACTACTGGATTATAGTAAAAATGCAGTTAGTATCTATTCTAAGGATCTGTTTTGTACAATAATAATCTTACATAATTATTAAATAAACTGAAGGGGCCTCTGATAAATTCCAACCTTTATAATATAGAGGAGACAGAAAGAAAAATAAAGAAGCAACATTTTATAAAATGCTTAATGATCATTATCCATTACTTCATCATCATATATATATATATATATATATATATATATATATATATTTTTTTTTTTTTTTTATTTAAAAAATATTTTACATTGTGACATGGAAATTTCGCGATATAAAATATTTTTTAAATAAAAATGTTATAATATTATGCTCTATGTTGTATCAAGCCCTTTAAAAAAAAAAAAAATGCTAAAGAACTGTGGATTCTAAACCTGACTGTTCTTCCTCTTTATTTGTATGTATGTATGTATATATATATATATATATATATATATATATACACACACACAAAGAGGGTGAGGAAAAAGTTGCACAGGATAGGGATCATTTATTAAAAGTATAATTACACAAAAATTTTATATACTTTTTATAGTTATTTAATCGTTATACCTGCTGTTCAAAATGTTCAACACCTTCAAAACACATTTCAATTCTGTACCTACAAGATTCATTAACACGTCGCAGAGTTTCCTCTGTCATTTTACTGCATTCATATTTAATTCTTTAAGTTCCTTAATATTTCTTGGGCATATCTGATAAACAACCGATTTCAAACGGCCCCACAGAAAAAAAAAAAAAAAATCCAAGGGTGTGAGGTCTGGTGACCTTGGTGACCACTCAACAGGACCTATCAAAACAATTTAGACATTTTATAACATGATTAATTAACTAACCTCTATGGTGCATGACTTTTGCACCACCCCGTATATTACACATATGCATGCAAGAAAAAAAAAAAATAATGAAGAAAATAAATTTAGAGAAAAAAAAAAAAAATCAAATCAAGGACCTTGCTGAAAAGAAAAAAAACAGTGCAGGATCAATAACTAAAAAATACAACAAGGCTGACTCAAATAGGAAGGATGTTGCTTAAATAATTGAAATTGCACTGAATTCATTTTGATCTAATATGTAGAGAGGATGACAAGAAATAAAAGTGTCAGGCTCTATTTTCACAGGCTTCTATCTTAAAATTACTTGGTCAACTATGATTTTCTATCATTTAATTGAATGAATAGCACATTTTTTTTTGGGGGGGTGGGAAGAGGAATTGATTGATTTGGATTGTGTGCATCTTTAAAAAAGAAAAAAAAAATTACCCCTTAAACTAATATCTTATCTTAAACATTGTTTAATTGTCATGAAACAGACAAATTGATGAACTGATACTTTTAGCCTAAACAGAAGTCCCTTATAGCATATTCTGTCAAAATCCAAGTAAAATACAAGTGCGGTAGAGATAAATGTAAACAAACCTGAATTGGAGTCCGGAAAAGAAAGATAGCAGATATTCATTTTCTGAAATTAAAAAAAAAAAAAAAAAAAAGGAAATTATTGAGGTTCTATTTTTTTTTTCATATTTATCAGATTAGAACATTAAACATTTATATATTTCTCAACTGTATTTTTATTTAAATTTACATTATAAGTAAAAAATTCCTTCATAATCATTAATGATGAGATGAGTCAACACAACTAAATCTGTTCATAAGAGTTTCAATCAGAATAAATGAATCTGAACAATGATAGTATAAGGTATTTATTAGACAATAAACTTGTCTTACCTCTTTTTCTGTTAATTTAACATGACCAGGATATATGAGCTGCAAAGAAGAAAAAGAGAAAAGTTTAATCATAATAGAAGATGTAATAAAAAAAAAATAAAAAAATAAAACTGATTTTTTTTTTTAGCAATAAAACTAGGCAGCAAATTATTTGCTAAAATCCCTAATTGGAATTTTACAAGTTGGATTGTGGAAACAAAGATTTGAATCATACAAATCACTAAAATTAAGATAAAAATACTAAAAAAAAAAAATAAAAAATAAATAAACGATTAAAACAAGTAAAAAGTTGTCTATATTTCTGAGATGAGGTATTGTAACTATTCATATTGTTTGGATTGTTGTCCACATCTGTCATATTTACAATGTTTCAACAGTTGTATGTTTTGGCCTTCAGACGAAATTCCAACATATATCCTATGAAGAAGGCCAAAGTGTACAACAGCTGAAACATTGTAACATTTATCACAGATCTTTGCGACTTCATTCATGTGATCAAAGGCAGACATTATATATCTTCATGACCTTGACCTTTTCCTTCATTGCATTGTCCTACTCCCTTCTATTTACTATCAGTCAGTTATGTGCCATGTGTGATACATGCTTAGGCATTCATGCATGTTTAGATACATGACTGATGAGGCAGGTTTTTTTCCTGCAGTAGGTTGCCATTTCTTTCTGCGGTAGACCAGTTGCCATCCAAGGCTATAGAACCTGGTCTATCCTGCTATTAACCCATAGTTGGAGGGAGAAGAAGAGGATTCATATGTTTCCCAAGGGTATTAGCACGCTAGTGAATGTAATGGATTTGACTGGAATTTGAACTTGGTTCTCTGATTCCTCAATTTACTATAGTAGGTCTATTTTAGATTTATAATAAACCTAATGTCTTTTTAGTTGTTTCAGTATTACAAACTGTCTGAATACTCTTTGTGAACATTTTTATACTTGTGGCAACTCTGAATTCATTTTCTTTTTATATTAAGTAGGTATGCAGGTCCAGTTAATGTTTATACTCCCTTATCATATAATCTGGCGATTTCTCACCAAACTAGGGGGAGGATGAGGAGGGGAAGAAATGCAGGCCCCTGGCCATTGTGGTTATGGCACTTGGACGGGTTATGTATTGAGTTACGTGCCCATTTATTTATGTCTGCCAACTGGATGCTAGTTGAGCTTTCTTATTCATTCTTACTTCTGGCACTCTTGCCCTTTATTACTTCCAGCTATCACAGACCCTTATCTTCCTGTATACTTGGCCTTCATTACTTCCAGCCCTTATTTCAACCTAACTCACCTGGTTGATCAGTGTTAATGGACCTGCTTACAACAGCCTGAACTTCTGGTTTTTCTGTGAGCCTAACTCACCTGGTTTAGAAAATTACTGCATGCATATCATCCAGACTTCAAATAATCCACTCCATATATTTTGGTTATACTACTATGGAAGGTTCATAATTAGACTTAACCAGCAACTATACAACATCAGCACTAGACATGTGAGCGTAACTTTTGAACTGTGGACTTACATGCCAACTTTAGTTACATGGACTCTACTTTTAACATTTAGTCACAGTTATATTATCATGATCTTCTAGCCAGTCAGTATTCTTCAATTTACTTAGTTCTGGCTCCATCACCTGATTCACTGTTTGTTCATGTTCCTTTAATCAAAATACACACCTTTGTAGATAATTTAAATAAATATAGTACCAATTTTTAGCTTGTTTGTTGCCCTCTTGTTGACCTGTCAGATTTCATGTTTTTTTTTTATTTTTAAAATGTTAGTGGGCTTCTTGTGACATCTATCCTTCATTAGGGTGCACAGGTCATGTTATATTGTGACCCTGCCAGAGGGTTTGCTACACAATAAAGATGAGGACAACAATCCAAACAGTTTAAGTGAAAAGTTTTATTAAAATTTCTAAAGAGTACATTGAAAGTGGAATCAGTGAAGAGATTTCAAATTCTGAATTAGTATATTGCATTCACTTTTGCACGAATGCCAGTGGGAGAGATACAAATCAGTCTCTTCTCTTCTTCTCCAGCTATGGGTTAAAAAGACTGGGGCTTATGAGAGACAGCAAATCTATGAGAAGGAAAACTGAATTCCACACCCTAGAGAAAAGCAACAGGAAACCACTCCAATAGCTTAAAAACAATGAGTTGTGGGGGTCCTGAGAGAATAGAAGAAACAGACATCGTTTACAATACCTTACCTGTAGAGAAAAGGGTGTAGTCAAAAATAACAATCTGAATTATTCTGGACAAAGAACTAGGAAACATCTGATTTATGTAGAAAGGTTGTGTTGACCACCCAGAAAAAATATCTTTACAAAAAAGATTAGTGATATACAATGGAAATACCATAATGTTTAAAATTAGGGAGACATTTGGTCTGTTTATTTTTCAGTCTAAAATTAGGGAGACATTTGGTCTGATTATTTTTCAGTCTAAAATTAGGGAGACATTTGGTCTGATTATTTTTCAGTCTAAAATTAGGGAGACATTTGGTCTGATTATTTTTCAGTCTAAAATTAGGGAGACATTTGGTCTGTTTATTTTTCAGTCTAAAATTAGGGAGACATTTGGTCTGATTATTTTTTCAGTTTTCAGTCTAAAATTAGGGAGACATTTGGTCTGATTATTTTTCAGTCTAAAATTAGGGAGACATTTGGTCTGTTTATTTTTCAGTCTAAAATTAGGGAGACATTTGGTCTGTTTATTTTCAGTCTAAAATTAGGGAGACATTTGGTCTGATTATTTTCAGTCTAAAATTAGGGAGACATTTGGTCTGATTTTATTTTTCAGTCTAAAATTAGGGAGACATTTGGTCTGTTTATTTTTCAGTCTAAAATTAGGGAGACATTTGGTCTGTTTATTTTTCAGTCTAAAATTAGGGAGACATTTGGTCTGTTTATTTTTCAGTCTAAAATTAGGGAGACATTTGGTCTGTTTATTTTTCAGTCTAAAATTAGGGAGACATTTGGTCTGTTTATTTTTCAGTCTAAAATTAGGGAGACATTTGGTCTGTTTATTTTTCAGTCTAAAATTAGGGAGACATTTGGTCTGTTTATTTTTCAGTCTAAAATTAGGGAGACATTTGGTCTGATTATTTTTCAGTCTAAAATTTTTTACAGCTGACATTATTTTGCATTTTTGGCAGGAATGAGACAAACCAGTTTTCAGCTTTTGTGGAGGGGAACATTGAGAAAATGAAATTCGGGCCAGGCACATTATGAATTGTCATTCTCTGTTTTTGTGTAGGTAAAGGAAGTCATCAATCATTGTTATGGGGAGGGAGACAAAGATTTCTCCATATATATATCCAGTGCTCATTCTGCTCATTCACTTGGTAGATGTGGAGCAGATGTCAGACCTGGGTAGATGACCTGCAATTTCAACCCCCACTGGTATGGTAGGAATTGCTTGTAAGACAGTGCTAAAAAGCATGCCCACAATTTTAGGGCCAGTTGAAAAACACTGAAACACGCATGACAGAAGAATTGAGGAAGGAAAGCCAGCTATTACTTGAGTGGTTATGAATAGAAATTTCCCATGCATAACCGGAATATTGACTGGATATCACTAATAGTTGTGACCAGAATCTTGAAATCAACACTCCTGCAGTAGAACATTTTGATTTTGTGGCGAATAAAAAGAAAACAGCAACAAGCAAGTAAATTCAAGCTCTCCCAACTGGTATTCCAACCTCGAGTCGTTCCTTCTTGAGTTCTGTCTCAAAATCGCACTAACAGACTTTTCTAGCCGCCAACCGTGAACATCACGCAAAGCACCTTCCACTGGGAAAAATTAGTTGCTTTTATATTTGTCCATATACCCATAATCCCTTGCATATTCATGCGATCCCATAATTCATTGCGTCCATGTCCCATAATGCATTGCATCTTTATTGTATAAAAATGCAATGCAAGTCCCCCCTCATTCTTTTACGTTATCTGGCCGAGGATGGATTACGGCAGAGCGGTAAGTGCTTTTTTCTCCCTCGTTTCAACTGCAGTAGCTTTACATGCTAAGAAAATACGGGCACTTTTTTGGTGGGGACAAGGCAAGTCGTAAACAGTTGTGCTCGTCCCAGGTTCTGTCTCATCCCGTCTGCCACAGATTTACAGTGGTTAAGGGAGGCATTTTATTAAACCAGTTTTTCCTTTATATTCAATAAACTTGTTAGAGTTAACAACAGTGTTGTGCATTTCATTGAAGGATTTCTTTTTCCAGCCTGAATTGCAATGAGCATCCAGACAAAAGTTTACAAAAGCTGTAGATCAAATTGTGTAATCTTTGACAGAAGTTGTACAGAACATATTTAAGGGGGTTCACACTTGACTTCACTGTCAATCCCAATATCATAAGATTTTGGTAAAGACAAATCAACCCTACAGAGACAGCACAGCAACTCCAACTGAGGAGGGAAAAAAAAGTCAGCTTTGTATTGCATAACCAAGTTAGAGGAACTAGGAAGTCATGACGGAGAGGAAAAAAGAGAAGAAGAGACAGAGTCCGGGGGTGAGAAGTGATAGGAGTGTCAACAATCAAAAGGGGTTGTCTGAAACAACTTGTAATTTTTTTACAATAATAATTCAGATTTTCAACATTGTGTTAAGTGTTTGATTTTGATCATTAACCAATACAGAATGCACTTGTAGCGAACATGGTTTTAATTAACTTCTATTTTGGATCTTGACCAGATCCAACTAGATGCCTATTTGAACTGTGGTCTGGAGTCAATGTGAAGCATGTTTCAGGCTTCGGCCAGTGATGCTCACCTTTAAAAAGGAAGGAAATGATTGACTGTCCAATGAATCCATAACACCTGATCTCAGTGGGTAGCTCATGACATGTCCACCACTTTCCCACACAGTCAGCAATTCCTAATGATTTTTCTTTCACTCATGCGCCTTCTTCCTGTTCTCCTCTCATCAAACCATTAATTCTACTAGGAGAACACACTTCTTTGAATCAGACCATGCTACAATGTCAGGATATGTGTCTGTCTGAATGATGTGTACTGGAAATTGCAGAGGCGTTCAAAGATCAACTAACACCCTCCACTCAGTAGTGTCATGTTGGTAGTTATTTGGGGCTTCTACACAGAGTGTTCACCTTTCTTGTGAAAATGGATCTCAGGTTCTCTGGCCATTACAGGCTGTTTGTTGGCTGCTTCACACTGTAACTAAATCCATGATCACTTCCAGCACATTGTTATGATGCCATGTGTACATCTGCAATGATTGTGAGAATGCAGGGAGCATGTGATGTAAAGTGCCTCAGTGATTTTGACATAATGCGCATACAGTGTCAGTATACCCCCACAGCTTGAGGTTGGTTGCATCTGGTAGGAGATCATAGGTAGATTGCAGGAGGAATGATGCTGCCAATGACTCCATTGCTATCAGATAGTTTCCTTGGATCAATATCACTTCATGTAGTCCAAACACATTGTTTGGACTGAGAAGCAGCAGTAGCTGTTTGCTGCTCTTCTTTGAAATTCCTGATTTCTTCAATCACCATGTCTCGTTTTCCCTTTGGATTCTGTTTGGAGAAAAACTGGTTGCTTGTGCTGCTCAGGCCAGTTTGATTGGCTTAGGTCACCCCCATAATCTCTTCTACTGCTGGCCATTTGGTGCCAGTTTTCATATCTGGCTGTAACCAGCAGGCAAACTCATCAGCCGAGTCCCTTATCATGTGAAGGTGCACCTTCCCTACCTTGAACTACTCCACCAATGAGGAGATGGGAAGTTGCAGGTTTCCAGCATTGGTATAGAGTCTCACTGAAGGAGAAACTCCAAGCCACTTGCGCAGGTACTGTTGCATCTGCTGAATGGGAGACAGAGTAATATCATACGCCTGTAACAGTCACAGAAGCTGAAGCAGCAAACCATGTTGGTAGCATCAAACCTTCAGTTTACTGGGGAGATGGGTTCTGATGATGGATTCAAGTCCATCTAGTGCCACTTTTTGCAAATACTTGTCCTGGTCCCGATCAGTCAGTGGAATTTCATACAGCCATCTTAGGCTCTTCACTGGCTCCTTTTTCAGTGTTGGGATGTCACCCCAATACAGAAATGAATCTCCCTGACAAAGCCTCTGAGCAATGATAATCACAGGATTTCTTGGGTTTAGCCTTCATTCTTGGCCATGTGAAGAGCTTATGGTAATGCTGCAGCAGTTCCTTGCCACTGGCCCTCATCCATGTCACTCCCTTTGCTGTGTCCACTGCACCCTGTAACAGTTCCACAGACATAATGGAAAGAAGTGGTGAAATCACATGCCTTGTCATGACGCCAAACTCAAGGGCTTGCCACTTGGTGGTTTACTTACCAACAGTGAACCGCATAAATGCTGCTCTGAAATATTTCATAATTTCACTAATATTACTAGGGAAACTTGAGGGACATTCAAATTAGCTCATGAGGAATTGATCCATATGTATTCATAAGATAAAGCCAATTTACATGAAGCTCAGTTTTATTTTGTTTGGCTGATAGGATTGAGTTTCAAATCATGTGTGAATGCTCCAGACAGCCAGGTATCCCAGACAGCTGTGTTTATGTAATGGTTAACTAGCTGGAAGTTAGTCAAATGATGGATAAGGTTTCCCAAAAAATATTTTCCCTTCTACATATATATATGTGAGAGAGAGGGAGAGAGGGAGAGAGAGAGAGAAATTTGCAATTCCTTTTGCATTCTTTTCTTTAGGTATCCAAATTGCTATCCACCAGGCACCATTTTTTGTGGTACAATACCTTGTTTCCATGCCCAATGGAGAAGGATGGTGAGTTGTTGCCTCAGGACATTTGGACAATTCTTATATAACTTGTAGGATATTCAATTTATTCCAGGTGCACTACCAGCACAGCATTTGTAGACAAATTCCTGAATTTCCTTCAGCTTTAGTCTGCTTGCCAATAAACATGACCTCTGCATCTTAGCAAGGTCATTCATAGGAGAGATTGGAACATCTTTCCAAGCATCAGAATACGTCACCCTCAGGTGGTTTAAGAGTTTCTCCTGCTTTATGTTGGTTTGCCCCTCTTAGTCTCAGTGAACAGCTTTTTAGCAAAAGCGTGAAGATTATTGTAAAATGATCTCTGAGACTGTTGCTTTTTCTTCCAACATTTTCTTAGTGATCTCGAGAGCCGAGAAACTAATATCTTTTCTTTAATATCCTCAAGCAGGTCCTTAAGGTCTGCCTTCATGAATTAGAGCTTCTTTGAGTCGGCACTTTACAACTCTCTGCTCTTAGTTTACCCTTTTGAATCCATCATTTATTTGGTTGCTTCTCTTCTTTCCTATCCCCTCTTGAAGTTGCCATACCAAACCAATCTCGACAAACCTCCTGCACAACTCTGCACAAAGATCTGATCTGCCGGCTAATGCAGCCCTTTAGATGGTTGGTAAATATTAATGATAGTTCCTGATCGCGATTCAACCAAGTAGATCTCTGATTGCCTTTGGGCCACTGGATTTTTAGTTTACTTGGAATTTTTCCAATGCTCAGCAATGGGATCCTGAACACTGTGGTTGTAATCCAAATTATTAATCCCATCATTTGACTTACATTCTCCACTAAGGGAATTGCATGGCTTTCACCAGCATGCCTTATGGATATATAAACCTCACCAGCTGTCGAATTTCCTGCCACAATTACACATTGCAGCTGATTTCAAATCCATGTCATTATCATTTGGATCAGTCAGATGTGCTAGTCATACTTGACTTAGTATTCCTGTCTTTCCAGGATACCACCCCAACCTTCTGAGGGTAGTGGGAGGGGGTCATTTCAACTTTCTGAAGAGTCATCTCACTTTCCAGAGTCCTGCTGTTCAATTTTCTATATGCAATGTCTGAAAGCATGTGCGATACACTGTCTTCATCAGCTGCCAATCAGGGGAAGTAACAGTTATACATGCATACAGTCAGTCAATCATATACACACACACAAACTTGTGTGCATTATTTTGTAAGATAAATAAAACTAATCATCCTAGTTAGCCATTGTTATGTAAATGGTCTGGCTTAAAAGACAAAATAAATTTAAGTATAATTTAAGCAGAAAGCAATAGCTCGAAATGTACTTTGTGCCATCCCAGTTAAATATTTAGGATATTTTCTAACTGTACAATATAGCAAAAGGAATTTTTTAAAAGGCTTATTTGATTTTTAGCTCATATTGCCACTTTGTTAGTAGGTTATCCTTTGTGACATTTCACAGAAGTGCCAGATAACTACTCCACTTGGCATCTCTAACCTCTTGCATCTGATCATAAACTGTTTACATCTCAGTGTCTATTTTTACGCCCCAGAGAAATATAGAATTATATGACAGCAAATAAATATCACTAGTAAACTGCAATATATGAACACAAAAATATCAAATGTGGCAAAGTTTCAAAAGCATAATTTTATTCAAAATGAGCTTTACAGTGTTCTTTTGCATAATTACAGTATCTGAATTGAGGCTTGTAGGAGGAGAGGAGAAAGAAAAGAGAGGAGAAAGAAAAGAGAGGAGAAAGAAAAGAGAGGAGAAAGAAAAGAGAGGAGAAAGAAAAGAGAGGAGAAAGAAAAGAGAGGAGAAAGAAAAGAGAGGAGAAAGAAAAGAGAGGAGAAAGAAAAGAGAGGAGAAAGAAAGAGAGGAAAAGAGGAGAGAGGAGAAAGAAAAGAGAGGGGAGAAAAGAGGAGAAAGAAAAGAGAGAGAAGAAAGAGAAAAGAAAAAGAGAAAGAACTTAGGACTGAATTCAAGTTTGGCAGATAAACCACTTTGAAAAGAGAGGAGAAAGAAAAGAGGAGAGAGGAGAAAGAAAAGAGGAGAGAGGAGAAAGAAAAGAGGAGAGAGGAGAAAGAAAAGAGGAGAGAGGAGAAAAGAGAGAGAAAGAGGGGAGAAAGAAAAGAGGGAGAGAGGGAGAAAGAAAAAGAGAGGAGAAAGAAAAAGAGAGGAGAAAGAAAAAAGAGAGGAGAAAGAAAAGAGAGAGAGGGAAAGAAAGAGGGAGAGAGGAGAAAGAAAAAAGAGAGGGAGAAAGAAAAAAGAGAGGAGAAAGAAAAAGAGGAGAGAGGAGAGAAAAGAGGAGAAAGGGAGGAGAAAAGAAGGAGAGAGAAAAGAAAAGAGGAGAGAGGAGAAAGAAAAGAGGAGGAGGGAGAAAAGAGAGAGAAGAAAAAGGGCCAGATAAAAGTGCTGTATCTGTGAAGCTTGAAATTAGTCCCAAGATAAGTTCTTTGATCTGAGAAAAAAACAAGATAATCTTGAACTTATCTTTTGTAGCAATTTTTTATAAATTTCTGTTTGCCTTGAAACATTAAATTTTAGTAATTTATGTATTAGGTGTTTATAAGCTCAGTATTGTATTGAGCACTTTTAACTACATACTTTGAAAAAGTTTGCTATTTTGCCAACAACATTATGCACAATAGAGGTCTACTGAAACACATGTATCCACTAAAATAACATTTGTAGTCCATGATTTACTGTCAGACTTGGGGTGTTTGCATAAAGTGTGAACATGAGTCACTACAGTTTTGATTCCTATGATCACACTATCTATAAATGATCTGCCTCAAATATTGAGGATTTCTCATTTACATATACATATATATATATATATATATATATATATATATATATATATATATATATATATATGTGTGTGTGTGTGTGTGTGTGCATATTTAAGGTGCGATGGGTAAATTGTCACCATGTTATAGATTTAATTTGGTACAGTTTGTTTCTTGTTGACTGCACAGTAGACTAGAGTCAGCTGGGCACTGTGACACACACACACACACATATATATATATATATATATATATATATATATATATATATAATGCCCTAATAGTAAACAAAATAAAACTTGGTTTGAGAGACTTAACAGAAAGTTGAAAGTTAAGTGCTGAGCACCTCCCACCCACAAGGTCTGTGTACCTTTGACATTTCCATAAAAATAGAATAACTGCATTCTTTAGTCATCATTTTACAGTTGCTATTTGATCAATATTTTTTTTCCTTCATGTACCTTAAAACATCAGTGATGACAGGAAAGCACGTCATTTCTGCTACTGAGAACTTTTGAAATCCAATTTACCTTTGGAGGAACTGTCACAAAGTATTCAGGCAATGAAATATAACTAAAAGAAGCATCCTCAGGTGGGATCATTACTCTGAGGAGGGTTGATATTATTAGCCTAGCTCCAGAGACTAAGTCTTCTTACTGCATCATGACATTCCTTCATGTCTGTAGCAACAATCTTGCCAAAAATACTTTTTTTTTTTTTAAGGAGGTAGGAATGTAAAGGTTTAAATGAAAACTATGTTACATAGTTATTGGTCATATCATGATGAAACACTGGTCCCCCACACAATCACTGAAGTTAAGCAACATTGAGCCTGGACAGTACTGAGATGGGTGACAGAATATATATATATATATATATATATATATATATATATATATATATATATATATATATATATATATATATATATATTGGGCAGCAATTTCTTTTATAAAAGTTTCAATAAAAACAAAAAAAAAAAAAAACAATTGACAAGGTACCATGATTAATTTTGTAATTTTTTTTTTGTTCTTATAATTTTCTTCCTTTGACATAAATTATGTAGAAACTGTCAATGTTCTGTATGCCTGAGCACTTTCAGCCATTAACAAGGATGATTTTATGTTATGTGTGGATGAGGCTATTCTATATATATATATATATATATATATATATATATATATATATATGAGAGAAGAGGTAAAACACCATATCCTAGCACATTACCGTGGTTTTAGACCCTTAGCTATTCCTTAACCACACCACTTTTATCAAGCTACAACAATAGAAGTCAAGAAGGGGAGGAGGTTAAAAATAAAATACAAAAACAATCAACAATTTTTCTTCATCCGTGATTGTACAGGCTGAGAACATTCTTGCCCATGTATCTACATTTCAGTTTTCCCCATTCAACAATACTGCACTGTCTTGATCATCGTCAACTTCTGACATAGCCTACGGCTGCTGCTGCTCATTCTAAAAGATCTTATTCTCCTCAAAATGTTTCACTTTATATTTGGACTCTTACCATGCTCTCCTTTTGATTTCCAAACAGTCTGCCAGCTTTGTATTGTACCTGTGCTTCTCCACCCTAAAAGAAGTATGGTTGTACCAGCATTTTTTAAATGGACCCTAAATACATCTGATGTAAACTCTCCTTTGGCCACCACCATCATCATCAACCTCAACCCAGTAAACACACCATCTATGCACCCTATTCAAAGGGCAATCACTTTCTATCCTGCAGTTATATAATATATATTATTATAACTTAATTTTATAGCGTTGTTGTTAAAAACTTTTAATAATTCAGGTCTTTTCTTTAAAGGCCAAAAAAAAAAAAAAAAAAACTTTTCCATATTTTATTGAAGAAAACAATGACAAAAGTCATGTCCATATAGATGTGTCTGCAAATACTTCATTTTTCAGTTAAGTTTAAAGTTTACGGTAGATGCTGTTAAATGTACAATCCAAGATACAATGCAAAAATAATTTTACAAATTTGCAGGTAGGTTTCAACACCAAATCAAGGTAAAATGTGGTACGATGACATGTATGACATGCTAGGGCCATTTGACATGTGCTGATACCTGGATTGTCTCTGACAGCCTGTAGAATATGTTCTTTGTAGTCAGGATATGAGCGGATCTTGGTCTTCCTCAATCAATAGTTTGTAGTGCCACAAATTCTAACTCAGCAATGCAATGATAAACAGCAACAAAGGTTGGATGACTCTGCTGCTTTTGGTCTGGAAATGCAATCTGATACAGCCATGCAGACTCATGTCCATTATCATTTGTGCAGCCATATGTAAACATCTGTCTGCTTATGAGATGAATATCTTGTCATTGTTAAACGGAACACTTCTCAGTTAACTCACTACTACGGGCATTAAACATTGCAAATGTACACGAATGACAAATGTATCCTAGTCTAAATGGTAACAGCACCATCCCCAGTAAGCTTTCTGGAAACTTAATTTAAAAAGGATTTGAAGACGTTTATACAGAATTTTTTTGGTGTGAGGAACCTGCCCCCAAAGTTTGTAAAATTATTTTTGATCTACTGTGTGTGTGTGTATGTATATATATATATATATATATATATAACTTTAAAATTTCTCAACTATTCAGGTTAGTAGATGAAAAATGAACTATTTAATAAATAAATAGTTTGCCTACTCAAATATGGGTATCCACTAAAAATAACATGTAATTAATAAAATCTGTTGGAATAATAAATAAATAAAAAACCCACCAAAAGCATTACTTTTTTAGAAATTTATATATATATATATATATATATATATATATATATATATATATATATATATAAACTGCTACTTGTTAACTCAATTTCTAAAGGGTTAATATATGCACTAGAATGGTTTCAGGAGGCGATAAAGAATGGGGAAATACACACTGCATATCTTTTCTTTTGTGGATGATAAACAAAAAATATTTTATTAGATTAGAATAGAAAAGATACAAATTAGAAATTTCCCTTTTCTCCATGTATGTGTTATTTATGCCAAGGCTTCAACATCCCTATCTCATTTTACCACAAGACAAAGAGAAAGAAATTAAAACCAACTGATGATAGATTTTCTCACAGAAAAGTCAAGGCTAAGCCAAACACTGCTACTGTTATTGCAGAAACACATGGAAAATTGATAGTTCTTCCCACCTACACATAATGGGCAGTAAAGAATTTTCTTTAGATGTGCAACTTGCAAAGATAACAAAAAAGTCTCTGATTAAGATTTTGTTGGGTTTTTTTTTTTTTTGCTTATTTTTACTATCTCCTATCTATATTTAGTTACACACTCAGTACAAGAAAATTCAGAAAAAAAAAAAGAAAAAAAAGAAAGATCTGATTTCAAAAATTCCTTTTTCTTCTGCCTATTCCTACATGAAAGAAATCTGAATTCTTGCAGAGCAGGTCAATCTTTGATGCTTGAAGACTCTAAGAAGTAAATTAAGCTTATTTGAGAAAGGGTGGTCAGAGTATATGTACATGAAATTATCACAAGCTGATTTACCTCCTTTGAATGTAGTTACGTATTTGCCAGCATAAAAGATGCACAAGTATATTCGATGCAACCCTATTTTCTGCATGACAGAGATAAGAAAGTTTTTATTGTACATAAAATGTCAGTGGAACATCATCTATGTTCTTCAGATGGCCTATTTCCTTTTTTTTTTTTTTTTTCATCCCAAGCAAGGCAATAAAGCCACTAAAATGAAGGGTTACTGAGTGTTAGAAAATATAGGAAAAAAACATTAAGAGAGAACACTAAAGAACAGGAATTAAGACAGAAGATAACAATTGACATTGATTTTCAAAAATTTAAATACAAAGTTGGCTGGGACTGGAGCAAGAAGACACAAGAGAGTTCCACAAGTGAGAAGTGCGAGAGAAGAAACTGTTAGTATAGAATTAATGGCTATTTCAACTGTAAAATGATTAGACCTTGCCATTAATATAGTACTATGGTTAAAATCAAAGTCTAAGTACTGTAGAGGAAAGTTCATCAGAATAATTACCATGAAAGTATATATAGAAAAAAGGTACAGGGAACCTAACTTATGGCAGTGGGGAAATGAATGAAGTTTTGATGCCAAGTTAAAACCAATAACATTGCAGATTCTTTGGATTTTATCAAGAATCTATAAATATATAGAAGAATCGCTAGACCAGATATGACAGCAATATTCAAAAGTAAGGATAAAGGGTAGATTTATAAATATATGATAGATTCTGGCAAGAAACTTAGCAGCAAACAAGCTGCATTATATCTATGCATTTTTTTTTATTTTTTGAAACCCTAATGATTTCATTTTTTTTTGTTTATATAATCAGCTGAAATTTTTTGTGCAATGGAAGTTTTTTTTGTATGTACTGATAAATCATATTTCTTAAAATGGTAATGCCAATCTTTAGATCTTTCAACACTGAATCTGGGGTTTAATTATCATTTCAGCAGAAACAGGTCTCCCTGAATTCCTCTGATTTGTCAACATTTTTTTTTTGGCCATTCTCAAATTCAGGTCAAGATTGGTTTGGGCAACGAAAGTGGTTTTTTATCTCTTTATTAGCTGCTTTTCATTGATCTTGCTGTTGTTAGAGAATTTTTTTTTTTTTCGGTATATGTGATAAAACCTTTGCTGCTGTTGTTACAATGCTACTCAGCATAGTCAATAAATTGTAGTTTTTTAGAAAATAATATAGTTTATTCTCATATTTTTGAGGGTAAAATTTGGTAAACTGGCACCATTGGTGTCATCTCCACCATTACAAAGCAGCCTTACTGAAAGGCATTAACCACATAAATACATATCCTTTCAGTTATTCTTCTTTTGGGTGTTTCATATGACACACATATTTGTCTGTGGTTTTAATGTCAGGTTTTCCATGGTAGTGTTTTACCATTACCAGTATTTCTTTTCCTTTGTCTATTTTGTAGTTTTCAGCTGGTTAATGACAGGAATATGCTGAAGCACATTTAGGAGTGATGGATCAGGTTGAAATGTTGCCAATACATTGATATGATAATTCTCATTACAGAACTGTTGGTGATGATATCATTTGAGCAAATAATATAGGGTCAGGCAAGGTAGAAGTGTTTGAGGTAAAAAGGGTGTTTTTTTTTTTTTTAACCTTCCCTGCTACCTTAAAGAAAAGCACATCTTACATACCATCAGATATAGTACACATAATTAAATAAAGGTCAAATTGGGCAAGTTTTCTAATAACCTTCAGTGTTAAATGATAATGAAGTGATTTGAGGTTCATCATAAGAGGTTAATACAAGTTCACTCAGAAAAAGCAAGCACAAACAAATTTAAACTATAGTCTTTTTATCAAAGTAATCAGATTAATATCAAGTCAGCAGTGTTCTTTTGTTTCTTGTTTGATGCTTTGTCCCAACAGTTAACATTTTGATATGATTTTAAAGTAAAAAGATTCTTATAAAATATCAAATAAATTTCTTAATAGATTTTAAAAGATCTTTAGTCATGTCTGTTACATTGTTCATGTAACGCTTGTGATTCTGGTCAATAGTACTTTAAGGAAACACTGGTTTAATCACATGAAAGCC